TCCAGTCTGGTTTGGTGAACTTTAGCATCTTAATGAGCTCAGGTTTAAGTCTGGCTACAAAAACAGACTTCAGTGGGCCGTAATCACAACCTTCAAGATCCCTATTGTGCTGCACATTTGGGATTCCTTCATACTCTTTCCAGGTTGTCCTAAACCTTTCCTCATTTTCTGGGACTTCCTCTGTAGCTTTTGGACAGGAAGCCATGACTTTTGTCCAATCGGTCTTAGGTGGACTATACCCCTGTAACCAACATTTTATTGCTGTCCAGCCCAGCTTGCAGCTCCTGCTCGTACACTCCAAGGGCACCTTTGACTGTCTCATGGAGAAGGCGTCCTTCTCTTCTAGTGAAAATGACATTCGGAATCTGTACCCCATCCCAAGCATGGAGCATATATATTCCCCATAACTGGTCTAGGCTTTCCCAAGTCTTCATTGGCCCCTTCTTCGGGTGAGGCATTTCTTTGGGTGAGGCATTTCTTTAGACCACTTGTCTACGTTTTCAGGGGACACAGGTCCATGCGCAAGGTGTTGTTCGGTCCATTTTACTGGAACATTTACCTCAGTGCCATCCTCCAACCCTTGCCTTATCACTTTCTCTATTTTTACCTTCTTGGTTTTAAAGGATTGTAAGAATGGTGTTGGGGATATACAGTCCTCATCGGTTTTGCTGTTAGAAGACCCATCACTCTTGTCCCTCTGTTTCCCAAGGGCGATAGCTAGGTTTTGCTGAACAACTTCCTGGATATCGCAGGTAGTTGGATACAAACTCTGTATGGGCTTGGGAACTGGGGAAGAAACTGACAGGACTGTTATCTTGTCCTTCAGTTGTTTGTTTTCTTTCTCGAGCTTCTGATTTTTAAGTTCAGCTTTTTCTTGCTTTGATCTCTCCTTTTGCATTGTTCATGCACTCTTAATTGCTCTTTAAGAATGTTCAATTCACGATTACGTGCTGATCAAGGTATGGTTTCATTCCTTTTGCGGATTTGTCCCATTAACATAAGGGACCATTTAGTTCTGTCCTTATCTTTCTGTTGGGTGGTTTTTCCCCAGACCCGTTTCATGTCATCTAGGGTCCGCTGTCCTTTGGGAATATTGTATCTCTGCCCAATTTTGGTTCGGGTTTTCCCTAACGAGAATTGTACTTCAAGGTAGTTTTGTAACTGCCGCAGCATTTCTTCCTCGGTTATGTCGGAGGGGCCAGCTCGCCATGGGAGGTCGTAGGCAGCTTACCGGAGTCACTCATGGCCACCCGAATACTCGCATCGTAGGCAATTTCAGCTGATTTGGAGCAGTCGATGTCTGGACACAGGGGATTCAAAAACTGGCCAACTCACGGGACGTTCAGGTTCACGTTCAGAGACTAGGTCACGACTTGAAGGAAGTTTCTTACCTTCAGAGTAGTGTCAGTGACCAGTCGGTTTCGACAGTGAGCCAGCAATCCTGTAGACTACACCAAGTTGTGGAATCATGTTTCAATGACGATTGAGATCGGTGAGTGGCGAAAATAGCCCATTCATTCAGCATCTGCAGTAGCACAGTTCGAGGTGACGATGGAATCTGAAGTACAGTTTTACAGGAGCCTCTTTATATACAGTTCATATATACATTAAAGTTTTAGCCCTGTGGTGTTACATAGTTGTAACTATTGTACACAAAAGTTGGCATGACATATGCCCTGGGGAAGCAGGTGGTGGTTTAAGCACTTGCTGGCTGTTACTCCTGAATGTCCATCTGGTCTGAGCTTGCATAACTAAGGGGTGTTAGTCCTTTTGTCTTTAACGTTAATAATGTTAATAAAAATACTAGACCCATATTATCTAAATAAGTGAGAAGTTATACATGTACCAAATAAAATTATAGAGGATATTACACTGATCTCCTGCAGCTGGATTGTGAGATTTCATTTAGTATGGCCTGTTTTGATGGTTCTTACACTTCATTCATGCAGTTTCACAAAAGCACTGTTTTAATAGTAAGTTTCTTAAAAGGGGTAGCAGCCCTATTTAATAAGTATCTACAAAGTACATACTAGTCGTGGAAACTGTTTGATGTTCTGCAACCTATTCAGGCCCCGTGAGATTGTTGCTAAGAGCTAATTAATATTAAAATCTTTCCATAGTTTCGAGGGGGTTACAGAGACACGATGGCGGGGATAGCATTGTTTTTCAGGGGTAGTAACACTTTTTCAGGGCTAGTGTTTGATACAGAAATAGGTCTAAACACTGCTTCCAGCATGGGCCGATAAGAATTGAAAGGTGTAATTAAACAGTAATGCGTAGAAAGCATGTTTAATTAGTTTACCTTGTAAGAGTAAAGAATAAAAATGTACTACAAAAACACGGTTTTATGAATGAGTGAATGGAAACGCAGTATAGTAAACATAGTGTGCTTGTGAGTTAGTAAAGAGAATTATAATACAATATCTCACAATTGCCAAATGTTCTCTTCCCCTTCCTTTTTAGTTTGTGTTCGACTGTGACTAGTCTCATAGCTTTCTTCAAAATTATACCTTCATCTGTTGTATGAGTGGAGGTCCAAGCACAGCAGCGTGTAATCATAGTAGCTGTAATACTAATGTATGGGACTAGTATTCTAGGCCTAGACTAGTATTCCGAGACATGGGTGCATATCCTGCCATGGCAGCTATGAATTCTGGAATAATAAGCTAGTCTCAGCGATCATGACCATAACTGTGAAACCATCACTATTTGTCATAAAAACAACTGGCTGATGAAGTAACTAGGTTGTCCTTACCTGGTCTGATCATGTGACTCCAGACCTCATGTGGTTGAGTCTTAACTGCTGTCATGAGAGATGGACAAAAAGTGCTGGTTTTCACATGAAGATAAAAGAAAATCCGGGTTATTTACTGATGTCCCGGAGTGTGGTTTGAATTTACAGCCTTGAAAACTGTGATGGATATGACATGGAGGAGGCAATTCAGCATTACAAGCTTATTCCTTCATTCAATTAGGTCATTGCTGAACTGCATTGTAATTCTAGTTCACTGCTTGATCTTGTGCTTTAAGCCAATATCGCTTTCTGTTCATTAAGATCCAGGTCTGGAGTATCTTCTCGAATCCCTCAAGTGCAGATGGAGGCCAAACCTCCAATGAGCATCCCATCCAGAGATAACCCCATCCTATTTCTGTAACTCCACATTTATCATGGCTAACCCGCCTAGACTACACATTTCTGGACACTATGACAATTTAGCATGCCCAATCCACCTAACCTGCACCCAGAGTCATACAGCATGGAAACAGACCCTTTGGTTCAACTCGTCCACGCTGACCAGACATCACAATCTGACCTAGTCCCATTTGACAGTATTTGGCTCATATCCTTCTAAACCCTTTGTATTCATATAACCATCCACATGCATTTAAATCATATAATCATTGAATCCCTAAAGATAGGAAGGTCATTCGGCCCATCAAGTCCACACCAACCTTCCAAAGAACATCTCACTCAAATCCACCCCCTACCCTATCCCTGTGACCTTACGTTTCCCATGGCCAATCCATCTAACCTGCACATCCTTTGGAGTGTGGGAGGAACCAGGAGCACCCGCAGGAAACCCATGCAAACACAAGGAGAATGACAGTCACCTGAGGGGGTAATTGAACCTGGGTGCCTGGCACTGTGAGGCAGCAGTGATAACCACTGAGCTACCATACAACAATGTTGTAATTGTACCTGCTTCCACAACTTCCTCTGGCAGTTGTTTCCATACACACACTACCCTCAGCGTGAACTGTTACCCCTCAGGCTCTTTTTAAATCTTTCCCCTTTCACCTTAAACTTATGCCCACTAGTTTTGGACTCCTCCACCCTAGGAAAAAGACCTTGGCTATTCACCCTACCCATGCCCCTCATGATTTTATAAACCTCTAAAAGGTCACCCCTCAGCCTCCGACGCTCTGCGGAGAAAAGCCCCAGCATCTCCCTATATAACTCAAACCCTCCAGTCCCAGCAGCATCCTTGTGAATCTTTTCTGCACCCTCTCAAGTTTAACAACATCCTTCCCATAGAAGAGCAACCAGAATTGTATGCAGTATTCTAAAAGTCTTTGGACTGTGGGAGTAAAGTGGAGCACCTGGTAGAAACCTATGCAAACACAGGGAGAATATGCAAACACAGTCACCAACTGGAATCGAACCTGGGTCCCTGGCACTGTAAGACAGCAGTGTCAACTACTGTGCCACCCAGTCTGTCGATGCCTGCACATACACTGTCCCTGAGGTTGCTTGCTGCTTATCTCCAATTAAGATTGCTTTATTTATAGCTGTACATAGTAGATATCAAATACAGTTCTCTAATTCACCGTCCAGGACCTCTCTGTTCACATGCTAATTCTAGACTGGTATCTTCTTGCTCACTGAAGTCATGTGACAATAACATCATGATGTAAGTAAATCTTAGGTTCGTAACCCTTAACATCCTTAACCAACAAAATCAGTTGTTTCAGTTTAGGCATTTTCAATTCACACCCAGCTTCAGCAGATTTTTTTTTCTGTTGGGTCGGGAGAAAGAGTTCCAAATTTCTACGTCCTAGTTTTGTGAAAAAGACGTTCCCTTGGAAGACTAAGCTGTAATTTGCAGGTTACAACCTCCTTGGTCTACATTTCTTCATTATAAGGTTGAAATTAATGCGAGCCTTTCTTTTTGGCATCTAATTTTCTCTCCTTTCCTGCCATATTATTATACATCAGATGCTGGTATCACTCGACTGTCTCATAACTATTTGTCCATGGGTCGGCAGGCTGTTCAACTGCAGGGGAATCGTATTGAATTTCTCTCCAAGTTAAAGTGAGCATCATCGAGTGGCACTTTGTAAGTCTGGCTATTACTAAAAATGTCATGACCCCTCTGGAATGAAGAACTGAGACAAGTTGCTCGTAAAGAAAGACTAGGGCCAGGCTCGAAGTGTATCAAGATATGTTTCTCGACCTGACAGCTTCCTCCCTATGCGGAACCCATGAGTTGGAGTTGGGGGTGGTATTCCAGTCGGAACGCTTGTTGTGTGAAGCCGACTTCCGGTGCGGGCTCAATGGCGGCGGTGGGGAGAGATTGTGAAGAGATTTAAACCAGCCGAGAATTTAATCCCGGTTTTCAATCAAAGAGCCGGAGGAACGGTGTTGGGCAGGTCGAAGGATCGAACGGCTTCCAGTCACGTCGTCCCAAGCGCTCGGTGCCGGGGTTGCAGGCGCCATGGCTGGGGACAGGCCCTCGCTCACTCTCGTCTACCAGGCCGTCAAGGCGCTTTACCATGACCCGGACCCGGCCGGCAAGGAGCGCGCTTCCGTCTGGCTCGGCGAGTTCCAAAGATCGGTAAGGGAAAGGAGTGTGAGAATCGAGCCCCCAGGCTTAAACTTGGGGCCTACATGGCCTCCTGCTCGGGGGAAGAGGCTGAGTTGGCAACGGCCCCTGGGAGAGGAGGGAAACCAGGAAATAAACATCCTTGAGGTTTGGGGAAAGCGGGGAGCCGTGAGATGGGAAAGTTTGTTAAATTCAAAAAAGTTTCAAATGAACGCCCAGGATTTCAGATCAAAACTGGCTTAATGGATCTAGAATGGAAACTTGTCACTAAGCAAACTGGTATCCTTGTGTTGGCGGCGCAAGTGAACCCAGCTTCATCTGAGCAACGTTTTAGTTAAATATTTATCTAAACTAGTCACCCAAGTGAAATACAGGCAGCGATCCTTTCAATGTTGGAGCCAGACAAGAGGAAACAAAAAAAAACACATTTCATCATCCCTACTTTGATAACAGTAACTTTATAAATTTAGTTAAATATTAACAATAAATTTGTCACTTAGCTAAAGTGAAACTAATCCTTTTAGGAATAACTTTGTAAGAGGAAATGACCACAACTTTACATTGAGTGTTCTCCATTTGCTTTTTATATTTTATAAAGTTTAAATCAAGAAATGTCTTTTCCTAGAGGTGTGGGAGTCCAAAACTAGAGGGCATAGGTTTAAATTGAGTGGGGAAAGGTTTAAAAATGATCTATGGGGTAACTTTTTCAAACAGAGGGTGGTGCGTGTGTGAATTGAGCTGCCAGAGGAAGTGATGGAAGCTGGTACAATTACAACATTTAAAAGGCATTGGATGGGTATATGAACAGGAAGAGTTCAGAGGGATATGGACTAGATTTATTTGGGGTGTCTGCTTGGCATGGACGAGCTTGACCGAAGGGTCTGTTTCCATGCTGTATATCTCTATGACTCGAATTGAAAAGAATCTGTAATAATCTGATTCGATGCTGAAGGGTGCTGATAAGATGCTCAAGGAGAGAAAAATGGAGCATCATTTTAATATAAAGCATTTAATCTGTATTTAAAACATTAAAGTGGTAAAGCAAAAATAACCCTGAAACATTTTAATTATTGAACCACTGGTAAGGAAAGGACTTTAATTTTTTTAAACCAAATTCAATGCAGTCTACTTTAACTTATTTCCTACTTAGTACTACATTACCGAAAAGGTTACATTCGCAAAATCTGCAGCATTTCCAAACTTAAGGATTGATTTAATCTGTTATTTTTATGTCAAACCACAGTTCCATTTTAGGAATTTTATTGTTTGTTGCTGAGCTTCATTTGCATACTGATGTAAAGGATGGAAAATAGAAAAACGCATTGATTTAAACTATTAAATCATTTTGATTATTTCAGATCTGTCTGACTGCTTCGAAGATTTTCAACATTATCAGTGTTTATTGTGTATAATGCAGGCAAGGCCACAATTGCCGTGTTTCTGTATGAAATGCTGGTGACCTTGTCCTTGAACTACTGCTTTCTGTATACCAACGGTGATTCCTTCACCTTCCAGGAATTTTGACCCAGAGACAATGAGTGGACCGTGATATATGTACAACTCTAGATTACTGTTAATGGCTAACCTCTCATTGGATGGATAACATTTGTCTTGGCTGGAGAATGAGGTACTTGTTTGTGATGTGGGTTAACAAATTTTATCCCCAGATCAGTTTGCAGCCACTTTTGAGTTAAGTCAGAAGTTCCACTGCATGTATTTCAGATTTCAGTGCTGAGGCAATATGCTGTCTTGGTGATAACAACAGGCCAGGCTGCATCAGAGGAGCAGGAAAGTTGACATTTCAGGTCGGGATCCTTCTTCAGAAATGGGGAGGAGGAAGGGAGCTGGGAAATAAATAGAGAGAGGAGACAGGAGGGATGGGGCTGGGGCTGGGTATGGGGAAGGTAGGTGGGATGGTGATGGTGAGTGCAGGTAGGGATTGGCCACTGGGATGGATGGGGCAGACAGGTGGGAGAGTGGATGGATAGGTTGTGTCAGGTCGAGGATGAGAGGGTTGGACACGGAATGAGGCTGGAGATGGGGAGATTTTAAAACTGGTGAATTCCATGTTTAGGCCATGTGGGCTGTAGGCTCCCAAGGCAGAATATGAGGTGTTGCTCCTCCAGTTTGTGGGTCATGTCATTGTGACACTGGAAGAAGCTCAGGATGGACATGTAACCCTCCCCATCAGCTGTGGTGATGCTGTCTTGGAGGTTTGATATTTTGAGTCAGCTGTTAAACTGCTTGCCCCATCTGTTTTCTCAGGTGAATATAACATATCTAATTGCATTATTTTGAAGAAGACTGCTGAGGGTGGTTGTGTTCTCCTGATGTCCCAGCTAAATCACTAAAATAATTTTTGGCCTTTTCTGCCCTTGTTTGTTGCACCTTTCTGTGCACAAATTGGTCTTTCCCTCCTTTACATGGTGATTACACTTCAGAGTTGTTTCATTGGTACTGAAACACTTTGAGAATGCTCTGACATGAAAAATTCAATGTGAATGTAAAAAAACGTTGGCCAGAAGTAATGTAAGCATTAAATATATTTGATGTCTTTTCAGTACATACAAAGTTAATTGCCATTTCAATGGTGAGCTTGAGAGTCGAACATTACATTGTAAGGTGTGTAATCTGAGGGAATTCTAGGCACTTCACAGTTTAACATGGTGATTCTTTAAAGTTCGTGTTACATGTGGACAGGATGGTTAAAAAGGCATTTGGCACACTTGCCTTCATTGCTCAGTCCTTTGAGTATGGGAGTTGGGACGTTATGTTGTGGTGGTACAGGACATTGATGAGGCCTCTTCAGGAGTACTGTGTCTAGTTCTGGTCACCCAGTTATAAGAAGGATATTGTCAAGCTGGAGACGGTTCAGAAAAGATTTACCAGGACGTTGCCTGGTATATAAGGTTTGAGTTACGAGCAAAGGCTGGATAGGCTGGGACTTTTTTCACTGGAACGTAGGACGTTAAGAAGTGACCTAATAGAAGTTTATAAAATAATGAGAGGTATAGATAGAGTTGATGGTAGTTGTCTCTTCCCTAAGATGGGGAATTTCAAGACAAGGAGACACATTTTTAAGATGGGAGGAGAGAGATTTAAAAAAAGACAAAAGAGGGTGGTTTGCATGTGAAATGAACTTCCTGTTGGAGTGGTGGATGTAGGTATAATTACAATGTTTAAAAGACATCTGGATGGATACTTGAATAGGAAAGGTTTAGAGGGATATGGGCCAGGAGCAGGCAGGTGGCTCTAGTTTAGTTTGGGATTATGTTCGGCATGGACTGGTTGGACCGAAGGGTCTGTTTCCATGCTGTGAGACTCTGTGACACAGTGAAGGATTTACTTTAACTTGCCTTTGCTTGGATAGATTTTGAAGTTGAGTTGTACCTTAATTTCTCTTCACTGTTTGCTTGGGAGTTATTTTTGTCGTCTTAGGAAAACATTTTTCCACATTTGAAGCGTTCAGGAATTCTGCATGCCAATAACCACTGTTGTATTACGAGTTTTCCCACATCCAGTTTGCCTGCAAGTGAAATATGTTTGAACAATTTTTGGAATGTCTGTCAGGAGCATTTCTTCTAGGTTAGGTGTGAATTCTGGGTCTGAGCTGTACATTATAGGAAGCTCCTGTGTTTGTTTTGGTATGGGGATGCACTGCAGATGGCCCAGGCTGTGACCCTTGCCATCACATGTGCTGAGTGGGCAATGGTTTTGAGAAAGGGGTGTGGAAGGAGTTGAAGGGAGTTGGGCAGACTGCTAGAGGAATTGAAAGGTTTACGGCGCTCCAGGAAGGAGAACTGGCCCTTGTCATTAATGAGATTGTAATCTGCAAACCCCCAAGTCTTGAATATTGAGATTTTTCCAGTGACTTGCTAGGTTGTTGCCATGTTCACCATATGAATTGGAGCTGTTCGAATCAGATCTTTGAAAAGGTAAGAGTTAGAATGACCAGCTTGGTCCTGTTGATACTATGTCTAGTATAGCATACCCACTATGACTTTACTGAAGTGTAACGGTCATGTAAAATAGCTTCCTTTTGAACAATGAAGACTACTTGTCAGTCCAATCATACCTTCTAAGAAAGACAATTCTGAAGACAGCTCTTTGGATGTGAAACGCAAACCCTGTTTCTTTCTCCATAGATGCTACCAGAGTTTCTCCAGCACTTTGTTTTTACTTCGTTGACCTACTAAACTTGTCTTATGTCTGCAAAACGCATTTTGGTTTTGTAACAGACTTATCTGTGATACCAGGCCGATTTGAGATCATAAAGGGGACATAATGATACATAGAACATTTATAACAAGTTAAAATGTAAAAGTTTACTGCATATTGATGCAACATAGTAAAATTGATTACATAGTGTGGAGGTGCTTTAGACTGTCTAAGTGTGTTGCCTATGTATCTTATCTGCCTTACCTCACATTCATAGAAACATAGAAAATTGGAGCAGGAGGAGGCCATTCAGCCCTTTGAGCCTGCTCTGCCATTCATCATGATCACGGCTGATCGTCCAACTCAATAGCCTAATCCTATTTTTGCCCCATAACCTTTGATCCCATTCGCCCCAAGTGATATACCTAGCCGCCTCTTGAATACATTCAATGTTTTGGCATCAACTACTTCCTGTGGTAATGAATTCCACAGACTCACTAGTCTTTGGTTGAAGAAATGTCTCCTCATCTTCGTCCTAAATGGCCTACCCCGAATCCTCATACTGTGACCCCTGGTTCTGGACACACCCACCATTGGGAACATCCTCCCTGCATCTACACTGTCTAGTCCTGTTAGAATTTTATAAGTCTATGAGATCACTTCTCATTCATCTGAACTCCAGCGAAAACGATCCTAACCTAATCAATCTCTCCTCATACGTCAGTCCTGCCATCCCTGGAATCATCCCTGGTAAACCTTTACTGCATTCCTTCGAGAGCAAGAGCATCCTTCCTCAGAAAAGGAGACCAAAACTGCACACACTATTCCAGGTGTGGCCTCAGCAAGGCCCTGTA